TTTAAAGTATTTATGATTATAATATTTATTATTATTTTATTATTTACTATTGATATTTTATTGTAAAAATATTTTTATTATATTCTGGCATTCTATGGATGAATAATGAATATATTATAATTTAGTTATCTTAAATCGTGCYCAGTATTTTTGACTACTGTACTAACCATAGAGTAATATTACTATAATATATATTTATRATAATACTTTATGGTACTAACTACGTAATGTACGATATAATACTACACGACATTCCACCGAGTAGATGAAAATGAAATGAGCACCTAAAATAATTAATAGTATCAAGTAATTAATGTTGTGGTAGTATGTGATCTCCTACAGTTCAATTTTTTACGGGTTTTTATTTTTTTTTTTAACTGTTCAATTCTTGTTGGTACTTGGTGTGCTACAGGCGCCTTAACTGAAGTAAAATGAGTATCCGAAACGTTTTTAACAGACATCTAAATTTGAAGTATTTGCGAGTTCAATGTTTTGTTCAGCAGAAATTATGCCGACAATTAAGTTTTCAAAGCCTAAAACGTCAAAATTGTACAARTGTCCATCGTCCAAATATACATGTAATTGGTGACCGTTTGTTTCAAGACACCAATACTTCTACGACTAAACTTYCATCGTGGAAATGGTTGTTAGCAATTACACTTTTTTATGCTGGGTACAGTAGTAAAAGTGAGTTAAAAGTTACTTTTATTGTTTTACTTGCAATTTTGAATCAATTTATTTTATTTATTTTACTCTGAATCAATACAATTTCTGCTTAATACCTACCAACCTACCTATATTTTGTTAACTGATATACCAGTGCTTCAGAAATAATTTYTTTTAGTAACTCATCTTTTGATAACACCTACATGTGGTTGATGAATTGTATTTTTTGTAGATATATTTGACCTAATAAATCAAGGATCAACAGAAGAATTAACTAGGTAAACTATCTTTATTATCATTAAAGATGTTGACATTTTAATTTAATACTCTGAAAAAAAACTTATTTTTAGATTTTTAAAAGATAATACTAAGGCAGCTAATACACTCCATTTATTTGGATGGGCTCCGATTCATGTGGCTGCATCAAATAACAAATATGAACAGTTAGCAGTTTTATTAAAATCTGGAGCAGATCCAAATTTGAGTGATGGGTTTACAAACTGTATAAATGTTTCTCGAAAGCAAAATATTAACCCTTCAGATGGTAAATACATAATACATAGTATACATATATTTTATATTCTTAAAAATAAAATTAAAATATTTCGTTTCAGTTCTTTCAATTAGAGAAAACCATTTTATGCAAAATTTTAATATTAATGCAACATTTCAAGGATTTACTGCTTTACATTATGCAGCATTATTAAATAATATTGAATCATTAAAAGTTCTAATGAATTATGGAGCAGATCCTAATTTAAAATCAGTTTCTGGCCATAAACCAATAGATTTGGTCACAGACATAACAATTTATGAACTGCTCACAGATTATGAGAAAGATGTAGATTTTAATGTATTACTCAGTAAATATATCCAAAAACCAAAATATTCTATACTCTGTAGTATTTACTATTTAATATTTATTGATTTTTTACACACACACTGATTATTAATATTTGTTAACTATTTATTTGTATTATAAATCATCAAACTAGTAATTTAATTACATAATGATAATATTTTTAAATCACCACYGACCTATGTTCACTAATAGATTATTAAGAATTTACTACTAATAATTTCAATATTTTTTTTTTCTAAAATTGAAAATAGATATTTTAATAGATTTTGAAAAAATATTTTGTTTCTCGATATA